CTCCTGACCACTCTGCCCTTCCCTGCCCTTTCACTTGGTGTTGCCTGGTGGTCTCCAGGGAGGGTTTTGCAGGAAGTCTCAATGTCTTCCTGCCCTTGGGCGGGGGAGCCTGGAGGGGACGTGTACTGGGATCCTCAGGGGACTGTCTCCACAGTGGGCCCGTCTGGGCTGCTGTCCTTTTGGGCCTCACTAGAGACAGCATCTTAGTCCATCGAGGCTACTATAACAAAATACCTGAGACTGGGTGGCTTATAAAGAATATAAATTTATTTCTCACAGCTCTGGAGGCAGGAGAGTCTGAGAGCCTGTTTCCTCCTTCATAGATGGCACTTTCTCACTGTGTCCTTACATGGGGGAAGAGGCGAGGGCGCTCTCTGGGGCCTCATTTATATGAGTACTAATCCCATTCATGAGAGTCCTGTCTTGATGATCTCACCAACTCCCAGAGGCCCCCACCTCCTAACGTCGCATGGGGTGACAATTTCAATATGAATTTTGGGGGCATACAAGCATTCGGACCATAGCAGGCAGTAGAGCTTCACTGTTAGGAGCTGTGAGATCTGCAGCACTCCATTGTCACATCTCGTGAGCCTCAGTTTTATCATCTACAAAGTGAGGCTAAGAATAGGGTTAGCAGCAGTTTGAATGAAGGCATGTTGAGAAGTGCTGGGTACATAGCAGGTGCCCATCATCAATTGCTGTTATTACAGTTCTCTGTTCAGCCCTGGCCCATATAGTCATGGCTAGAGGTCAGGGAAGGCATAAAAGCTTCTGGAATGCTGTGTCCAGAGGCCTGGAGATAGGGGGCAGAATAGACTGATGGGCCAGGCCTCTAACAAAGCCTCTGGGGAAATAGGTCTTCTCCCTCCTACCTGACAGGTACGTGGAGGGTGGAGTGGAATCAGAGGGCCACAGGTTAATAAGCAATAACCTGGAGTCTTTGCCAATTTGACTGGAAAAGGAAGAAAACTCCAGTGAATGTCTGAAGGCCCCTTCTAATGAGCATGGCAGGTACCAATGGTTCAGTTACTCAGTCTTGTCTGGTTTGTGGACAAGACTTCCGTATCCACGAAAGTGTGACTCACAGGGCTTTGAGACTGTCATGACAGTAGGGTCTAGGCCTCAGCCTGATGAGTGGATTTGAAAGGAACCCAGTTCAGAACACAGTTCATATTAGAGTCAGGTCTCTGTGGGAACAGGGAGACAAATGATGCCTAGGCTGGATTTCCCTGGGCACACACACCAGTTAATAAACCTTCCTAGAGAAGCAAGTTTCCATATAATGTCCCATTGGAGCAGGGGAAACTTAGGCACAGAAACCTTGGTTGACACCCAGTCTGTTAGTGGAGCAGCTTAGACTACACTTAAAGTTTGTGAACCCATATTTCCTCCTCTTTTTGTTTTTGGTAAGAAATTTGACTTTTAGTCTAAAAACACTGAAAAGTGACTATTGTAAGTTGGAGAGTGAGACAATCTGATTTACATTTTAAAAAATACTGGCATGGGGCCTAGCATGGTGGCTCACACATGTAATCCCAGCAGTTTGGGGGGCCTAGGCGGTAGAACTGCTTGAGGCCAGGAGTTAAAGACCAGCCTGAGTAACAAGTGACCCATTGTCCCTACAAAAAATAAAAAAATTAGCTGGATGTGATATGCATGCCTGTAGTCCCAACTATTTGGGGGGCTGAGATGGGAGGGTCACTTGAGCACAGCCTGGGTGACAGAGACCTTGTTTCTAAAACAACAACAACAACAAAAACTAGCTTTATTGATATATGATTTATAATACCGTAAATTCACCCTCTTAAAATGTACAATTCAGTGATTTTTAGTTTACAGAGTTTTTAGTTTACAGAGATTTTTAGTTCACAGAGTTGTGTAACCATTACCACCATCTAATTCAGAACATTTTCATCACCTCAAAAAGAAACCCATAACCATTGTCAGTCATTCTCTATCACTCCTTTCCCCCAGCCCCAGGTGACCATAATCTACTTTCTGTCTCTATGGAGTTGCCTATTCTGGAAGGTTCATATAGATTTAATCTGCTGTTTGTGGCCTTTTGCCTGGCTTCTTACACACAGCATGTTTTCAAGTTTCATCTGTGCTGTGGCATGTATCATTGCATCACTCCCTTTCACTGCTTAATAACATTCCATTGTATGGCTATACCACATTTTATCTATCCATTCATTAGTTCACAGACATTTGTGTTTCCACTTTTTGGCTGTTATGAATATTTGTGCACAGGCTTTTTTGAGGACCTGGGTTCATTTCTTTTGGGTATATAACTAGAAGTGAAATAGCTGGGTCATGTGGTAACTCTGCTTAAACATTTTGAGGAATGGCCAAACTGTTTTCTAAGGTGGCCATATCATTTTACAACCCCACCAGCAATTTATGAGAGTTCCAGTTTCTCTATGTTTTCGCCAACACTTGTTGTTGACTGTCTTTTTAGGGTTAGCCATACTAGTGGGTGTGATGTAGTATCTCATTGTGATTTAGATTCGTAGACTACTTCCCGAATTACTAATGATGTTGAACATCTTTTCATGAGCTTATTGGTCATTTATATGTCTTCTTTGGAGAAATGTCTATTAAAATTCTTTGCCCATTTTTAAATTGGGTTACTGTTGTTCTCATCTTTTCTTTATTTTTTTTATTGAAACAGGGTCTCACTCTTTTGTCCCAGCTAGAGTGCAGTGGTGTCATCATACCTCACAGCAACCTCAAACTCCTGGGCTCATGTGATCCTCCTGCCTCAGCCTCCCAAGTAGCTGGGACTACAGGTGCATGCTACCATGCCCGGCTAATTTTTCTATTTTTTGTAGAGATGAGGTCTTGCCATGTTGCTTAGCCTGGGCTAAAAAGAGTCAGCTGTGAGACTAGAGGCTGAAAAGTAACTGTTTTATTCTATTCTAGGTTTTACTTGTCCTCTCCATTGAAAAAGTTAAAGCCATTACATTTGATGTGTGGTAAGCTGAAAGATAGCAAGATTTACAATGTATGAAAATATATAAAATTATTTTTAAAAATGTTACCTCTGGCACACATGAAAAGTTGCATCATCTTACTAGTAATTAGAAAAGTGCTAAATTTTATTTTATTTTATTTTATTTTATTTTTTGAGACAGAGTCTCGCTTTGTTGTCCAGGCTAGAGTGAGTGCTATGGCGTCAGCCTAGCTCACAGCAACCTCAAACTCCTGGGCTCAAGCGATCCTCCTGCCTCAGCCTCCCAAGTAGCTGGGACTACAGGCATGCATCCCCATGCCTGGCTAATTTTTTCTATATATATTAGTTGGCCAATTAATTTCTTTCCATTTATAGTAGAGACTGGGTCTCACTCTTGCTCAAGCTGGTTTTGAACTCCTGACCTCAAGTAATCCGCCTGCCTCGGCCTCCCAGAGTGCTAGGATTACAGGCATGAGCCACCGCGCCCAGCCAAAAGTGCAAAATTTTAAAAGGTGATACTATTGGCAAATAATTTGAAGTCTGGTGATATGATGTGGTGAAAGACTGCTAGAAATTATTTAAACTGTTGCAATCATCCCGAGAACAAACTGGCAGTATCTAGCCAAACTGTCATGTATATATGCCACCCATCAATACAACTTCTAGGTATATTTTCTAGAGAACCCTTCTCCAGATGCCCAAGACAAGTACAAGGATGTTTATCACAGCATTTTTGTAATAATAAAAGCTGTAAACAAATACCCATTAATAAATCAATGAATAAATAAAATATGGCATATTCATATGATGGAAACTAAAATCTTTAGGAGAAATGAACTATACATATTTATAAGTCATGATCTCAAAAATAAAGTTGAGGAAAAAGTAAACTGGAGAATATAATGTCAGTTATGCAAATTTAATTTTTCACAAAACAACAAATACTGCTTATTTACATCTATAGAATATGTAGCATTCATATATTCACTGGAGTAAAATCTACCAAATTCATCTTATGATGTGAATCCTCTGGGAATGGGGGAGAGGAATGGAGATCAAAGGATATGAGGTTATCTATAATAATTTCCTTATAGTAAAAAAAAGAAAGACATTAAGGAAATAGTACTAAGAAATAACTGCCAATTCAAGGTGGTGGACTCATGAGCATGACAAATTCCCCAAAATAAATTAGACCAAATGTCCATGCTGTGAAATTGAGTGTGCCCTAGGGAGTAGCTGCACCTCTTATCACCCTGAGGGGAAATCAAGGTGATGCCTAAACTGCCCTGAAATTCAGGAATACCATTTAGTTGTTAAAGTATATGCAGAATATTGTATTGCACAAGCTGCTTCTGGAATGAAACAGTGTCACAGCTTGTTCGCTTCCTTCCCCCATTAAATATTGCTTTCATCAATTTTTTCATCCTAATGTTAGAAACATTTCCAAAAGGTCCAGTGCATTACATTTGTGCGTAATTTATTCGTTTATTTATTCTATATGCACTTATCTTGATTGACTAGGGTCCAGGAAAGGTGTTAAGGAAAACAAAAAGAAGAGGAAAATAAAGTTGGTGATCAGAAGCATCTAAAAGAACATTGGGGAAAATCACACAGGTAAATCCATAATTACAAAAAGAAGAAAAAAATAACCACCTGGGTTGGAGAGAACCTATAGATGCCTGGGGAGGTGATGAAGAAAACGGATAAATCTGAAAGAAAATGGAGATGAGTTAGAGGCAAGAGTACGGGTGAAATGAGAACAGAGTTGGCTGAAGGTAACAGGCTGAGGAAACAGCTCCTGCAGCAGGGGCAAGGGAATCTCAAAATCCATGGCTGGCTATCTGTGGTCTTCTCTTCCTGCCGGCTTTGTTTCTGCAGCCCTCGCTGTAAGAAATAAACACACCACGCCCAAACAAACAAAAAATGCAGCGGCTTACTGCCTACAAATGAAGATGTTACCTCTCTAAGTGGTGGCATAAGCTCACAGCGGGTCTTGGAGGATCCACCAGAACCCACAGCCGGATGGTGAGGGACTGCGGGCAGCGGTTCATTCCAGGAACAGGCGTCTCCGGGCCTTGCACGGAGGGCGGGGAGACCGCGGAGGGCGCGCGTGGGGACCTGGACTTGGGGAGGGAGGTAGAGGTTGGAGTGGTGAGCTGGGGAAGGGGTCCAGAAGGTGGAATTCCAGGTCGAAGATGGGGCGTGGGCTGCGTCTCCCTGGACTAGGGCTGGGGACCAGAAGACTGGGCTCTGGGATGGGGCCCTGAGGGTCGGGGCTGGGCACCCTGCTAGCGCAGGGCTGGCGCTCAGCGGCTGAGCCTGCTGGAGGGGCCATCCAGGACGCCAGGAACTCGGGCTCCGCGCCCTCCTCGAAGGCCTCTCGTAGGGCGGCGAGCTCCGCGACGGATGCGTGGAGGAATGCCTGCTCGACGACGACGTCGTCCCCGGGAGCGCCCAGAAAAACGCCGCCAGGCGAGTCGCCCCGCCCTGCCGAGCCTTCGTCGCCCGCGCCCAGGAGGACCTCGGGGACCAGGAGGAGCGTGTGCCCTTGCAGGGATACTTGCAGGACGGAGGTGGGCGCGGGCTGCAGGACCAGGTCGACGTCGTCCAGGGGCACTTGCAGGGCACAGCCGTCGGCCAGCACCACCACGGAGGTGGGGGCGTCCGCGCCCGGGGCGCCCGCCGAGTCTCCCAGGCTGGGGACCGCGCCGGGCCCGAGGCCCGCTGGCTCCTCCAGTCGGCGGCGCTTGGCAGGGCCGGGTCCTCCGTGCTGCGGTCCCCAGCGGGGCGCGGGGCAGGCGCTGGGGCTGTGGGGCCGGCTGCCCATCACGTCGATGGCGCGGCGGGCGGCGCTCCCGGGCCTGGCGGAGAACTGGGGCGGCGCGGTGCTGCGCGCGGTGACAAGTGTCAGTGACAGGTGGTGCGGGCCGGGGCCGCCGGGGCGCAGGGCGGCGCGACGCGGGCGAGTCCTCGGAGCTTAGGGGCGTCTCCAGGAAGGGCAGCAGTCCAGCTTGCTGGGGAGTCGCGCCCGCCACTGACGTTGGCCTCGAGTGTTGGAATCTGCAGCCTTCCTGGAGCAGACCCGGATGCGCACCGGGTGTTTAATAATGTGAGACGTCAGATGACCTATGGATGCCAAGAGGTCTCACTATAAGCCCCGCCTGCAGATTTGCTCCGCCCAGGACGTGGCCTCGAGGGAATTGGGTCGGTGGAGTGCAAAAGTGGATAAGGTTCTCAGTATGTGCATATAGGGAAGGACTTCCTGGAAGCCCTCTTGCAGCCCGTGGCCTTTATTGCTCTTATTCTTGGAAAACAACAACAACAAACAACAAAATAGCCAAGAAACAATTTCATGAATTTCCTGATTCCTTTAATAAGTAGCCCACGTTTAATATTTCTTCTAAAATATTCCAGGGGGCTATGAAAAAGAGCGTAACCTCATACTCATTGCTCCTTCCGGATCCCACCGACATGGTTCTAAAAATTTCTTTCCATATATTTGTATATACCCATAATGAGGGAGATGTGCAACGTTTGGGGGATGGTCATGCTTGAAGCTCTGACTCAAGGGGGTAGGGGGCATGGGCAATATACGTAACCTTCACATTGTACCCCCATAATATGCTGAAAAAAATAAAAATGTCTAGCACATACAATCACATACAATACATAATACTTAATAAAGATATAAACAACTAAAAAAAGGAAATTTCTTTCCTTTATGCGAGAAATTAGCAATGCAAATTTTACTTTGGTAACCGAGCTTTTTAAAAATAATAAAATGAAAGTGACTGCAGGATTTCGTTGGAGGCCAGGCTGTGATTTTAATAACAGTAGCAAAAAAATTACCATAATGTTAATTTTGTATTTAAACTTGATATTTGATCTATATTATATTGAGTGTTTAAAGAATTAGTTTATCCTCACAAGTGAAGCTCAGTGGAGAGAAGAAACTTTTACGAAATTAAATACCTAGTTTGTGTTGGATATGGGAATTAAATACAGTCATGCTTAGCTTTGTAACAGGAATCTTTCATTTTTTACTTATATGCTTATGGCAAAAAACTAGATGTGGAATTTCTGGGTAGTAGTGTGTGGCACCTTAACAATAACAGATAATGCTAAACTACTTTTTCTTTCTTCTTTTTTTTTAGAGACAGAATGGTCTTGCTCTGTCAGCCATGTTTGGGGAATCATAGCTCACAGCAGCCTCATACTCCTCAAGTAATCCTTCTGCCTTAGCCTCCCAAATAGCTAAGACCTCAGACTGGCATCACCCCGCCAGACTAAGTTTTTAAAAAATCTTTTTACAGAGATAGGTTCTTGCTATGTTGCCCAGGCTGCTTTGAAACTTCTGGCCTCAAGTGACTCTCCCATGTGGGCCTCCCTGAGTGCTGGGATTACAGGCGTGACCCACCCCGCCCAGTCCAAACTACTTTCCTTAGTAGTTGCCCTAATTTATATTTGTGTGAGCAGTGGGTAAGTGTTCTCTTCTTGCCACATCCTTGCCAACACTTAGTATGATTAGATTTCTAAGTATTTTCCAATCTGGTGGTGTAAAGTGTTATCTCATTATGTATTTATGTTATATTTCTCTGATTGCTCATGAGGTTGATCATTCAACCTATTCGACTATTCATGTATGTACCATTTTCTGTGTAATATGTGTTTATGTCTTTTGCCCATTTTATATTATTGATTTTTGGAACCTATTTATTATTTATGTGTGTTGAAATTCTCTTTTCCCGTTTTGCGACTTGTTTTTTTTTTGAGACAGATCTCGCTTTGTTGCCCAGGCTAGAGTGAGTGCCATGGTGTCAGCCTAGCTCACAGCAACCTCAAACTCCTGGGCTCAAGCAATCCTCCTGCCTCAGCCTCCCGAGTAGCTGGGACTATAGGTATGTGCCACCATGCCCTGCTAATTTTTCTATATATATTAGTTGGCCAGTTAATTTTTTTCTATTTATAGTAGAGACAGGGTTTCACTCTTGCTCAGGCTGGTTTCGAACTCCTGACCTCGAGCAATCCGCCTGCCTCAGCCTCCGAGAGTGCTAGGATTACAGGCGTGAGCCACCGTGCCTGGCAAATAAACAGAACTTCTTAATTTTAAATAGTTTTGAATGGATTAGTTTTGTTCTTATTATTTTTTTTTTGAAACCTTAAAATTTGTATAGTTTTGTTCTTTATGCTTTGCATTTTTTGCTTACACTCTTTTCCAAGATTATTTTCATATCTTCCCAATATTCTAATCTTTACCTTTCAGAATTTAAGCTCTTTACCCAGATATAATGGAAAGTTTTGTAATCATGAGATAGCAATTCAATTTTAGTATTTCCCCATGTGCAAAACCAATTATCCTGACACTTTATGTTGAATAGGTCATCTTTCCCACTAAATTGCATCATTTCCTGAATTGTAAGTTTTTTTTGTGTGTGGATGTCTTTGATCTTTCTATTTAGTTACATTGATTTAATTTTGTAAACAGAGGCAATCTTATGCAACTAATATGTTTAATATATTACATTTAATACATAATAATTAATACCATACCAAGTAAATTAGTATTAATATGTTTTTGTAAGTTTTTTTGTCTACAAAATATCTTAGTTTTATGCTCACTTAAAAATTTTAAATTCTTTTTTTTTTTTTTTTTTGAGACAGAGTCTCACTCTTTGCCTGGGGTAGAGTGCCGTGGCGTCAGCCTAGCTCACAGTAACCTCAAACTCCTGGGCTCAAGCAATCCTTCTGCCTCAGTCTCCCGAGTAGCTGGAACTACAGGCATGTGCCACCATGCCCGGCTGATTTTTTCTATATATTTTTAGTTGGCCAATTAATTTCTTTCTATTTTTAGTAGAGATGGGGTCTCGCTGTTGCTCAGGCTGGTTTTGAACTCCTGACCTTGAGCAATCCTCCCACCTTGGCCTCCCAGAGTGCTGGGATTACAGGCGTGAGCCACCATGTCCAGTCAAAAATTTTAAATTCTTAACTGATAAATAATAGTAATATATAATTATGGGGTACAATGTGGTGTTTTGATACATGTATACATTGTGGAATGAGTAAATCTAGTGAATTAACATACCTATCATCTCACATACTTATTTTTTTGTGGTGAGAATATTTAAAATTTTTTAGTAATTTTGAAATATATAATACATAATTATAATTATTAATTATAATCACCATATTGTGCAATACATCTCAAAAACTTATTCCTCCTGTCTAACTGAAACTATGTACTCTTTGACCAACATAATCTCATTCCTCCTCCCCATCCTCATCCCTGTAATCACCTTTATACTCTCTGCTTCTAAAGTTTGGCCTTTGAAGGCTCCACATGTAAGTGAAATCATTATGTTTTGCTCATTGTTGAAAGATGGTTTCGTTAAGTGAAAAATTCCAAGTCAAAACAGGTGTTTTCTACCAGTACTTTGCTGCTATTATTCTGCTGTCTTCTGGCTTGCATTGTTGCTGCTGAGAAACCAGTTGTCTAACTGCCTTTTCACTGTAGTTATCTTCTCTTTCTGCATGTAAAAAAAACCTCTCTTTGAATTTGTGTTTCATAAGCTTACAATAATTTGTCTAAATGTGTATTTATTTTTATTTATCATTCTTGAAAGTTGTTGTGCTTCCTTAATGAGGACACTGTACTAATGTCCCAGAATTATATATGTTCTTGTAAATATCCTTTTTTGCCCTCTCTTTAGCACTGAAAGGATAATTCAAAGGGTAACTTGAGGGTTTGGGGTCTGAGCACAAATAAGAAGAATTATTTTCTGAGATTGGAAAGACCTTGAGGGGAGAATATTTAGGACAAAAATAAGATTAGTTCAATTTTGACCATGTGCCATCTGAGGTGCCTGCTACATATCCAAGGGGAGGTGTTGACTAGGAAGTGAGGTCAGGACTCTGGATTGCATGGGATAGAAGCTCGCCACCTCTATCTGCCGTAGGATCATAAAAACCAATAACATACCTTTACCCTTGTTCATGGTAGGAATCTGTCCATCCCTTATATCCCAGATTCACATCTTCAAACACTCAGTACATGGCATTTTTCTGTCTACTTCCTACCCTTCTCCATCTCCTACAACTTTTCATTTTACATTCTGGAGCTCATAGTCAGTAATCACAAAACTCAAAAATCTTCAACTTCTTTGATATTCGTTTTAACTTTATAGTATTATTGAAACCTTCTTCTTCTGTGTTCCCTGCTTTCCCTGCAGGCTTCCCTGAGGAGGTGGTTTTCTGTCCCATAGCCCTAGTACGTGTAGGTGCTCTTCTTGCTCTTTGTCGCTGCTTCCCAGCCATTTCTTCATCTTTTCTGTGTTTCAGGTCATCAGACTACAACCAGGCACTAACTCTTTCTTGGTGTAGTCCTTTACCCTACTTCCAACTCCACAGCCCTTCCCCTCACTCTTTGAATGTTTTTCTACTCTTGTCTTTCTGTCACTCTCTCTCACATTGATTCTGTCATTATTCCCAGTGATTTCAGAATACACATAGGTGGTTCTTCCACAACACTGGTGTATCTCCATCTTGTGTCCTTCCTGCGCCATCCAGACTCCTCACTTCCTAGTAACACCTCCTCCCCTTGGATATGTAGCAGGCACCTCAGATGGCACATGGTCAAAATGGAACTCATCTTATTTTTTCCTAAATCTTCTCCCCTCAAGGTCTTTCCAATGTGAGAAAAACAATTCTTCTTATTTGTGCTCAGGCCCCAAACCCTCAAGTTACCGTTTGAATTACCTTTGACTCTCATCTTTCACTTAAAAAGCCCCCCTATGTTTCTCTATCTTCAAATCATATCAAAGAAATGCCACT